GGCAGATAAAAACAAACAGCAAACTAAATGGCATGTAGTACCAGCAATATTATATGAAATGCTGGAATTTTCGTACATGATGAAATATGTAGCACAAGCATTCTGGAAGAAATCGAGCATTGCCAGCTTCACCCCATATCAAGAAATACAAAGAAATGAACAGCACCTTCTTTTCCTTGTTGATAACATCAAGGCTGCAAACAATGATTGAAAGAATCTGTGAATCTGAATAAAAAATACATGACGGAATTGAATTTTTTATTTTTAACAATGCTACGAGATATAGCAATAACACTTCCCTTACATATCATAAAAAATAAACGGTGTTAAACCAGAATACTTACTTGCTCCACACTGGCAAGATACCCAGATAGTTGCACCACTTAATGTAGTTGTCTAAGGACTTCAAAAATACCTTCTGGACTGCAGCCTCGTCCAAAAACTATATGAAAATCATGAATACGTGAAAACAAGTATTACACTATATGCTCCAAAATTGTATGCCTCTGATCTGGAACAGATAATTAAGAAACCCCATCTGTAGGAAGCAGTTGACTTGGCAACATGCATCTCAATTCTCAAGTTCTAGGAAATTAAGTACCAGTTTCTTGGATAAACAATTGAATATCTTTCGTCAAATACAACAAACCCAGCCTACTTTAGACTTGAGATTGACTTGTAAGTTGCAAAACCTCTATGCACAAATAATATTTCATTGATCAAATATAAAAACATAATGGTATTTCACTAGTTTTGACAAATGCATCAAAAATAATTGAATTATAAGTTAAGTTTTTTAAAATAATAAGAGTGATCAACGGTATCAAAAAACAAAATTCTTTGACGCCATTTGGGACAAGATTCCAGGAATATTTCTACATAACCAATCCCACTAGTCTAATTTAGCAATGTGGCTAGGTCAATAATCTTAAAGCAATATGAAAAAAAATATGAGTCATGAAACTATCCTTTAAATTTTGAATCAATCCTTCATATCCTCAAAGGTATGATGCATGAAACTTTTAGCCATACTTGGAGGCAGGGAAATACTCTTGTGCTGAGAACGGTAAGTGATGTTACATGGTAAGCTACTACAAAACCCCTCTGAGGTTCTACCCCCTACCTAAAGGCATGAGTAATCAAGTGAACTAAGAGGAAAAT